CACGGCCCAGCGCGTGCGGTTGAAGTCCTCCTGCCCGTGGCCGTGCTGCAGGGCGAGAGGCGCAAGGCCAGAGGGAACGGGAAGAGGTGCTTATAAAACACCATGGCTTTAATTGCCCTTGTCAAAATGGCTGCGAGCTCGCTCCAGCCAACACTCGCCCTGCACGTGCCTGTCTGGAAGCAGAGGGCAGCCCTCATGGGCTTGCCTTTCGGGGAGCACTGCTCCCCAGGGAGGCGGTGAGCACCCAGCCCATGGAGCAGTGGTGCTGGGAGCCAAGGCAGAGCATGCAGGGACCCTGCGCTACCTGCGGGCCTGCCTCCACCTTGTGCTCCTGAGGCGGCTCCCAGGAAGCAGGATAGATGGTGGCTCGGCACAGACATCGCTGGTACCCACAGCACATGGCTTATGGAATCACCTCCTGCAGCCGGTCTGGGGCAAGGGCTGAGGGCAGGGCAAGGGAGCAGTCACCGGGCTCATCACAGCCATCCAGGCACGGAGCATCCCCCCGGTACCAACCCCTGCACCCCTGAGACCAAGGGAGGATCCCTCCCCACCCCATGCAGGGGGCAGCGCTGACAGGCTCCAGCAGCATTACACGACTCAGAGTGTGAACTGGAAGGAAAGAAGCCTGCAGGGTGATGTGCAGCCCTTGCTCCGTCTCTCCTGGGTCAAAGCTGTTGCCCTGGGTACTTGGGAAGCGCAGACTGTTGTTGCCTGACAGGCTCTGAGCAACATGACTGCACTGGAGTGACCAGGTCCTTGTGAAAGTCCTCCCACGGAAACCCTGGCTGCAACCTTCCACTTCCACTTGGATTCTAATTGCCTCCTTCAGATCCACCCAGAACGCCAAGCAGCGACTGCCCCACTTTGCCAACTGCAAAGCTAAAATTAACTTGTATCTCAGCAATCAATGATCCCAGTTTTTCGAGCAGGAATAAAAAAAATGATAAATGACTTTAAGCCAAAAGCAACAACAAGAAATTGGGCTTAATTCTGGCAGACAAACAGGATCCTGCCCTGGGAACAGCCGATGCACTGAGGAGAGAATGGTGCTGGAGGTAAGAACGTTGTCTTTAATCACTCTCTTGCACTAAAGGCTGCCCCAAAGTGCGTCAGTTCCTCCTCGTGGATGCCTGTCTAAAAATAAAAAGGGAGATAAGATTCTGAACTTAATGTTCTTCCATTTCCCTTTGCATGAAACTTCATCCCTGGAAAGGGAAGGAGTTGAAATCTAGCAATGTCCCTTCGTGCCATATGAAGGGCTCTTTATTTTGGGCTGCTGGCATTAGGAGGGTCAAGGTGGGACAAGACCAGCCCCCGCGTGACCTCCCTGCTCCTCATGCCATGAATGGTGCCCCTCGGTGCAGCTTTGTGCCCATGCCCGTGGGACAGGCCTAGGAGGGACATTGCACAGTGTTCCTGGAAGGAATCCTGCGGGATGATGGGATCAACCCCACTTGTGCTGAGCTGCAGATCCTTCCCCACCTCCTCAGGACCATCACTATGCGCTGCCCTGGCAGGGTGGGACAAAGGGACAACCAGGAGAGACCTGGGGGATGCCTGCAGGGTTCAGCCTGGCTGTAATCTCCCAACTCTAGAGACAAAGGAGAGCTATTCACACTTTAACACCCGCTCTCCCGCCACTCCTGGGACCTGCCTGTCACCATTGTGGTGCTGAGCCTCCAGCCCAGCACCGTCAGCCTCCTGGCTGGTCACTTGGAGGGATGCAGGAGCAGCCAAGGCAGGTCCATGCTGGATGTGGGGAGCTCAGACAAGGATTACGGGCACAGTAACCTGGCTGCTGCCCGGACCTGTGTGCAGCCACAGCTGGAAACGGGGCAGACACCAGCAGGGAGCTGGAATGAGCCCTTCCCTCCTGCCCAACCGCAGGCAGGAGCAGGCAGAGCTCGCCCCGGCTGCGCAGCTCCCATCACCATCACTGAGCTGAGCCGCTGCTGGTGCTGCTTCTAACAGGAGGCTGCTTCCAGGCACTGGGGAGCATCGCATCCCTGTCCCGGCCCCCATCCCTGCCCAGCCACCAGCCAGCCCATGGCAGGGCCCTGCTCTCAGCACTGGCCCAAACAAGGAGCCCCTTTTAGACCCCTCGCTGGGGCTGGTGCAGGCAGGGGCTTGGCCCCGGCTCTGATCCTGTGCTGGAGGTGGAGCTCGGGCACGTTTGGTTAACGCTGGAGCCTCTTTCTCCACCCCAGCCCTGGACTCCCAGTGAGTCCCCTGCTCCCACTTCACCCTGTGCAGCAGCCCCAGCCCCGGCCTCCCCCCTGCAACATTGGCCTGTGCTTAATACTATTTTCATGACTGTTGTAGAGCCGCGCTCTGGGAGTCTCGGGGGATGTTTGTGCATGACATCAGCCTCCCCCTCCTGTAAATCAGGCTCTGGGCCCTGCGCAGCCATGACCCATTCATGACAGGGATAAAATCCAGATGTTCCAGCGCTCCGTGCAGCTGGGTCATTTCCTTTTTTGGCTAAAAACGTGAGGCTCTTGAAGCTGCCTGAAAGAGGAGCCCGGGGGCCCTTTGTACAGAAACCTTGTGTGGTTAATCCCTGCAAACAGCGCTGCAGGAACAAGGGGTTGCGGTGCTCCCGCTGCAGCACGGGCTGAGGCCGCTCACTCACCCTCTGAGGCCGAGCAAAACCGGTCACAGGGCAGCAACAACAAAACTGTTCCTTGAACAAGCCCGGCAGCTGCCAGAGCAGGAGCCTTGGAAGGAGCCAGGAATGTGCCAGTGCCCTCGTTGCCCACCGCGGTGCTGGAGCAGCACCCGCAGGAGCAGAGCCAGGGGACCAAAGCGGGTGCTGGGGGCCGGGGCAGGCAGGCCCAGAGGAAGTTGTGGCATCTGTTAGTAAATGTAAAGGAATCTGTGGAAAATAGTTTCAGATGTTAGGGAATAAACGGCTCCCTGGCTGATAAACGTGAGTAATGAGCATGCACCGCTCCAGGGAAGGCGGCCAGGAGGAGATCACTGTTATCCCGATGGAGATTACAGCAGCTTCCCCACCAAACCTCCTCCTGAGAGCCTACGTGTGTGGACGGGGGAGTCCGTAGCGCAGGGGGCAGGAAGCTTGGCTGCACAGTGGGATGTGATTCCATATCACAGTGATCCAGACCAGCTCCCGCGGCGGTGCAGGATGCTGAGCCTGACCCAACAGCCACGTCCTGCTCAGGCCTGTCCTGCACAACAGCCTGCCTGGACAGACAGGAACCCACAGTGGGAAGAGGGAGCTGCTGTTTCTCTGCCATTACCCACGGGACTGGTACTGATGCTGGATGGTTTGGGGGAGGCATGAGCACTGCGGGGATCACCATCCCCGCTACAGGGTTAGGGGGGAGGACAAGGCTGAGCAGAGCCACATTAGTTCAGGCAAAGCTCTGCCCTGTGCCTGCTGCTTGAGGAACACACGAGAACAAGCATCACTAAAAGGGTTTATTATATAAAGCCATAGGAAATACACAGGAGGCTGAGGTTTAGGACACTTCCTTCTCAAGACTGCTCCAAGCTCCTCAGAATAGCAAACACACAAACTCTGATTTGCCTGCATCAAAGCTTTCAAACAAAGGTTCAACAAGGGTCTGAATACAGAGTTAATAACACTTCAACATGCATAACATTTTAACAGGGTTTTTTTGTTCCTAAGTGAAGCTGGGGGGGGGGCTTGCCCCTTCATCCTGCAGTTGGTTATAAAATGACAGATAATGGTGACAAAAGAGTACAAAAGGGAAAAAAACAAACATGAGAAGATGCTTTCAGGAAAGTACATGGTTGTCTAAGCAGGAAAGCAGGGCCAGCATAAGTGCCCCAGCAAGACAGAAGCAAAAGGGATGCAGGGACAAGGCAGGCAGGAGCATCCCACTGAAGGGAGGGTCTTAAGAGGCCCAGGGGCAGCTCAGCCATGGGGCAAGGATGGCTCGAGCCCTCGTGTGAGTCTGAGATGGCTCAAGGTGTCCCTATTTGCAGTTCGGGCCAGTGCAGGGACTTGGGGGATGCAAAGCCCCTCTTCAAGGGAGCTCAGGTGCCACCTCTGCTTTGGGACACAGCAAGGGACGAGTGTGGCTGAGGGGAGCTGCTGCGCTCTGCCCATCGCAGCGGGGGGACAGAGCCCTGGCAGGAGCAGGCTGTGGACACCCCGAGTGCCCCCCTGGCTGACCCCCACGTTCCCAGATCTTCCCTTCCAGTGCTCCCACTGAGCGCAGCCCCAGCCCCACAAAGGACTGCAGCGTTACCTGTGCTGCTGGCGGGTGGGCTCAGCAAGGCAACCCCCATCCCACGGTTTCCCATGGGAGGGATGGAGCAGGAATAAAGCCCCTGATGCTCTCAGCCTTCAGCACATCCTTCTCCAGAGCCCGGCCAGGCACATCTCAGGGGGCTGCTCCATGCACCAGCGCCAGCTCAGGCTCCAGAGGCAGCCCTGGGAGATCCCGGCACAGATGGGAACGGGGCAGGTAGGTGATGGGGCAGAACACCCTGTACCTGTGAGTGATCCGAGCTCCTCATCCACACCTGAGTGAGAGCACCTCCATGGAGCTGTGCAGAGCAAAGGGGCTGGCCTGCAAACGGTGAAGTGGCTACAGGAATCCGGAGCTGGTTCCCATCTGGCAGGACACACGCTCTTCTGCTGGCCACACTCCAGCCCGGTGTCCCCCAAGCTCTCCCCAGAGCGTGCCCTTCAAGCCCAGGTCACCACAGGCCAGCCACACGTGTGCTGCAAAGCCATCCACGATGCAAGCCAGCCCGGCCAAGCCGCACGGAGCAGGAGCTGCTGCCTTGTATCACACAGAGCAAGGGAAGCACATGGGGAGAAGAGAAAAGTCAGCACTGTGCCAGGAGGAGCAAATACATGCTGCCAGCGTGCAGATCCAGCAGCGCAACACTGAAGCTGCTGCTGCCCTTTGCTCAGCTGGGGCCCTGGGCTCAGCTTGTGCCTGGTCAGACAGGAAGCAAAAGGAAAGAGTAAATAATGGCGGGGGGGGGATCTTGAAGCTCCTTTTTCAACTTTATTTAGCTTTGGCTCTGCACAGAGCCACAGCATAGCGTACTCTAGCCTTCAGGAGGGGCACAGGAACCCCCTGAACACACCGTGGTTCGGGGTCAGCCCCCATCTCCTGTGCCTTGTGCCCTGCCCCTGCAGTGTTGTTGGGGTATCTGGCACAAAGACCCTGAAGAAAGAGAAAGCCCCTGCCCCACGGTGTCCTCGGAGGCTCATAGGTCGCTGCTGCAGTCGCGGCACAGGATCTCATCGTTGTCAGGGATGAAGCCCTTCCCCACCAGCGAGGTGTTGCAGCGGGCACAGTTAAAGCAATTGTGGTGCCAGTGACGGTCCTCAAAGGAGACGTATTTACCACCACCAAAGCCTACAGGAGGGACAGAGAGCAGCGTTAGAGCCCCTGCGGATGAGCTTCCCGCACAGCCGAGCCCTTGCCCGGTCATCTCCGAGTCCAGTCTTCACACGTAGTGTGGCACCCAAACCTCCCCCAGTATCAAACACATCTGAAATACAACTGTCCACTCTTGGAGGGGAGAAGAGGACCTTCCAAGGACAGTGCTAGTGTAATACCAGGAAGAGCTCTCCTGCCACCAGCCCCAGCCCAGGCTCCTGCAGAGGCTCTGTGGGCAGCTTCCTTCCTTCACCAGCAGTGGCTGGACTTCAGGCTGTGACTCCCTTCTCACCGGGACTGCAACAAACTGATAAGGACCAGACGGGAAGCGATGTACCAGGAGCTGCCATGTCCTCAGCCAGAGTCATCCTCTGAGTCACCAGCCTTTGCCTGCCTGCCCAAGCAGTGGGAAAACTGACGTGGAGGAGAAGAGGAAGGAGGACAAACCCTCCCAAGGGTTTCTGCAGAAGAGGACCCTCTGCTTCCCCTGTCGTAGGCAGGTACGACAGGTCAAGACTCCGAGTTGCTGCTCTAGCTATGGCACAGTTAACCACTTTGAAAGATGCAGATGAAGGGACACCCGTGACCATAGGACCACTGCAACAGAGATTCTCTCTCGTGGGGTTCCTCATAAGGTGGCTACAGCTGTTTCTGTGGGGGACATGCCTCAGGGCACTTTGCACTCCCAGCATTTGTCCCTGGGAAGCTTAAAGTGTCTGGAGACACTTGAGCAAGGCTCCACGGTGGAGATGAGTAGGAGCATCGTATGGGCTTGGGTGACACGTGCGCTCAAGAGGGTAGCTTTACCCAGAGAAGTCACCACATGTGTGGACATCCATATGCCCTGAAACAGGGCAGGTAGGTCATGCAGAAGTGCCCTGTCACCAGAGCTGTTCTGCTCACCTGTGATGGGCTTTGTGCAGGCACTGCACTTCTTGGCATAGAGGTTCCCAAAGCACTTGATGCAGTAGGGGTTGTCATCCTGGGAGGTGAACTGCTGGCCAGCCAGGGGGGTCTTGCAGCCCGTGCAGACGAAACACTCCTTGTGCCAAGGCTCATCCCGGTAAGTCACTCCTCCCTTGGTCAGGGTCTGTAGGAAGAGAGCACGCACTGGTGACACACGGGGATGCTGGAGCCTGAACCCTTCTCTGGTTGGGCTCAGGAGTGGAGAACATATCCCTGGATCCCAGAACTCGGGGACTTTGGGCTGTTGGGTCAGACATACCTTTTTGCAACGGGTGCAGCGAGGAGCGAACTTGCTCTCATAGCAGGGCACACAGTAATAATCCTTCTTGTCTGGGATGAAGGACCGTGAGCCGATGGGCTGCTGGCAGCTGCTGCATATGAAGCAGTGCTCATGCCAGGTTTGTCCGTTGTACTCCAGCTTACGGGATCCTGCAGAGAGAGTTCACAGTGACAGGAGGGAGCAGCACTCGCACGCACATGGGCTGTGTACGCTGATGCACACCCAGCTCTCTGCCTGCCTGCCCTGTGGCAGCACAGGACCGCAGGCAGCTGCAGAGGGACACCCTGCCCACCCCACAGCCCCTAGGGAGGGCTGCAGGAACATGCCCCTGGCACTGGCACGCAGGCCAAGGCAAAGAGGCCTGTTGTAACCTAAATCTGAAGATGGTGCCAGAATGGCCAAGCAAAGACACGCCTTTGCCTCAGGCCACCTCCAGAGACGCTCACACACCTTCAGTCATTCCTTCTCTCCTCGTCAGCACACACCAGAAAATGCCCAGGAAACCCTTTATCTCCCCCCCCAGCTCACTTCCCCATGGAAAAGGAGGAACAGACAGAAAGGGCTGCTGTGGTGATCACAGCTTGGCAGAGAAGCAAAGTGCCAAGAGAACAGAAATTCATCTCTCTCCCTTGCTGCCCTAGTGTTGGGACCCCCACAGCCCCAACACTGCTGGGACCAGGAACCAAGTGCAGTGCTTGACTCTGCCCACTCCTACCTGGCATGACTGTCTTCTCGCAGGCAATGCATTTGGAGGAGAACTCGCTGCAGTAGCAGTCATTGCACAGCAGCTCCTCTCCTTGGCAGGTGAAGGGCTCATCAGCCAGGGAGCGGTCACAGCGGAAGCAGCGGAAGCAGTGCTCGTGGTAATGGCGATCCTCATAGTACAGCTCCTGGGGAGCAGAGCTGAGATGAGGAGGGGACACATCACCCAGGGACCACCCTGCCCAGCCACGGGCTCCCACACTCACTCTGCAGTCGTGGCCGATCAGCTCTTTGCACTCATCGCAGGTGTTGGCAAAGTGGGCATCGTAGCAGGGGATGCAGTAGGGGCCGTTGTCCATCTGGATGTACTTGCGGCCATACAAGGACTCCTTGCAGTTGTCACAGTCAAAGCACTCTGTCATGGTGCCAGTCTGAGGGCCTCCTTCACCTGCTAAGAGATCAGCAGAGATGCTGGGTCAGTATCAGCTTACGCTGCCCGAGATGTCCCTGCACAGCCCTGCCAGCTCCAGAGGGCAAGGACCACGAACCCCTGCCCCGAGCCAACAAAGCTGTGTGCACACCAGGACAGGACACAGCCCCGAGCTGCTGTGCCCGCTCCGTGCCTGTGTGCACTTCCAAAACAGCCTGCACACATTCAGGACCTGGGATGAGTCTTGCTTCAGGTTTTAACTCAAGTTCAACACTTGGAGCACTTAAGCACCACTCAGAGAAACCTTGACACGTGAGCATGGAGCTGAGCTTCTCACTGTCTGCCTCCTTGCTGGGAAGCAAAGTGTAAATGAGGACCAAAAAAGACAATTTATGTGCACTGCAAGTTTTTGGTTTGACACTGAAAACAGGACCATGCACACGCTGGGTGGGTGCACATCCACTGTCACATCAGAGCCAGCCACTTTGAGGGAGACCTGTTTACCAAGACCCACACCTAGGCACCAGCATGGCCCTGGACCAACACAGGATTCCTCCCGCCAGCCTGGGAGCTGATGCTCTGCCCGATGGGGCTGTCAGCGGTTCAAATTCTGGAGCTTCTCCAGAACTTTCCAGCAGCTGCTCCAGAGGGAAGTGGGAATCAGGCACCCCACATGGCTGTGCCCAGCTACGTAGCTGCATCCCAGCAAACTGTTTTGCACATGATGCTCCAACTGCAACCACTCTTCAAGGAGAAAGTGCTGGGGACGGTGGGTGGTTCACAAGCAACAGAGATGCTGCGTGCAGATCAGACAGCTCTCATTGCTCCTTGTCTCCCTCCCATACAAGAGGTTTGAGGAACTGTTTCACTTCCTTTGGAGCACTAACTCCAGAACAAAAGTATCTTCCTTCTGTTTGGTTTAGCCTGGTTATTCCTAAATATGGAGTTCTCCACTTGCAAAATCACACCCTGCATTAATACAGGTTGCTGTCAAGTGCGGACAAGCCCGTGGAATTACATGGGAGCAGTCAGCAGCAGAGTGCCACACGCTGCAGTTTTCTTCGTGAACCCACCCACTTCAGAAAGAGCTGTTATGGCTCAATCTACAGTTCAGCATTTAATGGGACACGAAGCTCATGGCCAAGCTCTGCTCTTCCCTGGCCATCTCCCCTAGGCTGGGAGGCAGCCTCCGGCACAGAAGCAAGCCGACCCAGACAGCTCTTGCTCATGGCCGCGAGCTCCCCAGGGCTATTCTTGGTCAAGCCACACAGCTCCCAGCTGTTGTCAAGCCTGGTACGTGCTGATAGGCCTGGTGCTGAATAAATCTAGTGTTCCCACATGGCTACGTGACCAACAGAGGGGGAACAAAGTCCCTTTTCAGACACTCTGGTTACCCAGCTGCTGCTGACCGCCCCGTGCCCTCCAGCGTGGCCGCGAGCTCCCCAGGGCTATTCTTGGTCAAGCCACACAGCTCCCAGCTGTTGTCAAGCCTGGTACGTGCTGATAGGCCTGGTGCTGAATAAATCTAGTGTTCCCACATGGCTACGTGACCAACAGAGGGGGAACAAAGTCCCTTTTCAGACACTCTGGTTACCCAGCTGCTGCTGACCGCCCCGTGCCCTCCAGCGTGGCAGGCTGCTGCGCGTGGCTGCGGCTGCAGGCGCAGCTCCATGGCGTGCCCCTGTGCGCA